GTGCTGGAAAGGTACTGATAACACGAACATTAAAGGCCCGCTGTACGTATTGTAGCTACTTGCTCCCTCCATATAGAAAACAATACCTAATCGGTGACCATTGGTGCCCCATGATCCTCTTTTTCTGATTTTAATTGAGAGCTGAGTTGATGAGATAACCACCTGTCCAGTGACATTGCAGGGCGGTCTAATCCCTCCTATAAACTAGTACAGATAAGCTTTAAGATTTTCAGGAAAAGATTAAAAATATTATATGTGAAAAAATAAATGCATCCATATTCCATGAATAATACATCTTTACCGTTGCAAATTTTCATTGATTTCTCTATCTAACGGTCATACAGGTACTCAGATCCGTTGATGAAGAGTGGCCAGAGGAAACGATGAATAAAGCAAAGATGCTTCAAAGGATCTCTTTTCGTCTCAGCATGACACTTGTATTTATTCACGTCATCTCTATGGTGGCAACGTCAGTTCATATCAGTGGTATACTAGGGAACAAACCAAGCAGTAGCTGTGCTCTTACCACGGGGTCCGGTCCCGATGGGAATCACCTTGCAAACAGTACACCAGACGCTTAAAGGTTACTTGCAAATTGTACGTCAGACGCTTAAAGGTTACTTGCAAACAGTATGTCAGACGCTTAATTTAACGATTACTTGCAAACACTTCGTCAGACGCTTAAAGGTTACTGTCTTGCAAACAGTTACTGTATGTCAGACGCTTAAAGGTTACTGTCTTGCAAACAGTATGTCAGACGCTTAAAGGTTACTTGCAGACAGAGCATCAGCCCCTTAAAGTTTACTTGCAAACAGTACGTATGACGCTTAGACCTTACTTGCAAACAGTATGTCAAACGCTTAAAGGTTACTTGCAAATTGTACGTCAGACGCTTAAAGGTTACTTGCAAACAGTATGTCAGACGCTTAACGATTTCTTGCAAATTATAAGTCAGACGCTTAAAGATTACTTGCAAATAGCACGTCTGACGTTGAAAGTTTATTTGCAAACAGTACGTATGACGCTTAAATGTGTTATGGGGTGATACTATTTCATCACACATGATTGTAAACGGATATAAAGTGCAGATGAATCTGTTTTCTTCTCATTCATTCTCATGGAATAATTTCAGTAGATGCTAGTGGACGCAGTCTTCTCCTTAAAGGTGTGTGGATATGAACATTACATTTGCGTATATAGACCTACTTACAAATGTTATGATTGCATTCAATGTGAAATAATGATATTTACTCCGGGCTAATCTCGATTAGCATGTTGCTATTTTGTTTAGCTCGCTCTAGTTACCAAATCATAATTATATACGTATATTGTATCGACAGTAAAATTCAATGAATGTACATTTTAGTGATTTGGTAATAAATTCAAACTCAACTCAACTCAAACAGATAATAGAGTGTGCGCCGTGCCTTCATAAGAGCAGTTTGTAATTTCGCACCACTTATAGGAAGGGTCATAAATTTTGATGCAGTCTTGACAAGCGCCAACAACAAGAAGGATAATGGTTAAATTTATTGTGTAGGTTTTTTTCGTCTGCAGCAGCTGATAAAAGATTAAATCAACAGGTCTGTTGTTTACAGGTATTAAATTATTGGATAATGCCCACACTTTTCTTTAATTACAAGATATTAGGAGATTGGTCACCCCGTGAACGTATTAAACCTGCTTTAGGGACTCGATGAAACACCTTAATCACAGTTCTGCAAAGACAACACTGAGAAGTTATTATCCTATGGAGAACATATAAACTGGATATTGTTATTGCCAGGCATTTCTCAATTTTTTGTTTTGTTTCTTATTGTTTCAAACGATGTCAAGGACTTTGCAATAAATCTACTCATATATCATTATCATTATCAATATCATTGGCCTAGAACACCGCATATCAAACCTGTGATTCTTATATTTTACCTATTATATGTTCTGAGTCATCTTTCTATAAGAAATATGATGACATATTGAAATGCCAGTAGAGTGGATTTCTTGTAAATATTTTCGTTTGTATTTTTTATATTTCATACCTATTTATTAATATTTTTGTATCCTATTGATCATCTCAGTATTTCTTTGCAAGTGTGCAGTAAAAAGATTTTATTTATTTTTGCTTTCTGTTTTTTTTTACACAATAAACGTCACTGAAAAGATATAGGGGAAATTTTCACGAGGTGATTTAAAAGTAACCTTTGTTAGATGTGGAGTGACTAATGACTCAATATGTTGGAGAATTCTTATCACTAGGCACCTCCTGTATAATGTGTATAAATTGAAATATTTTAGAACTCTTGAGATTTTTTCAGTTGGCATATGTTTATTCAAGACATACAGACATTCTCAACATAATGATAAAAAAGTATGATAATGATAATAATAATGATAATAATAATTTGTTTTATCCAGGGAAGCCTCATCAGCATCAATGCTGTTCTTCCTGAGGGCCCTGTAATCTTTATAACCCCAGAAATGTCCAGGGGGGTGTTTCATAAAGCTGTTCGTAAGTTACGCACGACTTTACGCACGACTATTATGTTCTTGTGCTACATGTAAATGATTGAGAATCTGATTAGCACCCAAGAACATGTTCCAGTCGTGCGTAAAGTCGTGCGTAACTTACGAACAGCTTTATGAAACACCCCCCCCCCCCCCCCAGGTACCCATTAACACCTGGGTGGAAAGTGGCATTTATGGATTAATGTCTTTCCAGAGGACTTTAGTGCCAACTGCCAGGAGAGACATCAGTGACGTATCTACGAGGGGGACGAGGGAGCGGGGGCTGGGGGCACGTGCCCCGGGCGGCACTTTAAGGGGGTGTAAAAAAGGGAACGAAAAATTGAAAAGGGGAGATAAGGAAGCAACTTATCATAATTACATGTCGAAGATGCATGGTAATTTGCATTAGATATTATTTTCTGCGGGTTTAAAATGCAAATAAATCTGAATCTATGCCGCTTCGCTCCGTAACATATTGTTTCAGGATGTCGTATTTTCAGGTCCAAATATAGGATTAAACGTAAAAAATTAAATCTGAACTTTCGGTTTCCCTTATAAAATGCTTATCAGTTGTTGTCTGTTTGTATGTTTATATGTTATTTTCAACGATGATCTGGAATAATATTATAAAATGAACTTTCACTGGTTTTAATCATTGTTTGTGATTACTATTTATTACTACGTAGATGATAATCTCTAACTGAGTATAGCTCCTCATTTTGTAATTATTTTGTATATTTGATGAATTTTTAATAATTCATTTATATTTGTTTCTTATATGTTAAATGGTATATTTGTTATTTGCATATTTGATGAATTTTCAATAATTGCTTTGTTACTTTTGTATATTATATCGAAGATCATGCAAAATTATGGATTCTATTTCATTAAATCTAAATTTGAATTTGAATTAGCATACAATATTATATGCTTGTCTTCGTGGCTAAAATCGTGGTTAAAATCTCTCTCTTTGTCTATCTCTCAAAAACTACAGTACTGTTATATCTTTTATCGCCATTTCGAAGAAATATCGGTAGGACGACAACCTGAAAAATGACAGACTGAAAATTATAATGTTATAAATATAGGGGTCTTGCCTCAGTGAAGGAATTCCTTGAGAAGTATACATTATAATTCCAAATGAGTTTCATAAGAAAGAGACAAAAGCATAGAACTTTGAAAATATGAAAACAGAGAGATTCAGAGAGATATATAGAGAGAAGGAAAAAATCGGAGAGAGAAAGAGAGAGAGAGAGAGAGATAAAGAGCGACTAAGCACCCATAGGCCGTAACCTAATTCTCACAAATTCACAGTTGCAATAGTCAACATCAAACCAATGGCGTATTTGAGGGAGTGACAAGGGGAGCAATTTCCCCCTCCTGCTAGATTTCCCACCAAAATTAGAAAATTTGTCCCCCACCCCCCATCCAAAACAAAAACAAAAACAAACAAACAATTCCATTCTATTATAAGCAGGTCAGGAATTAGTGTACACCAAGAAATGTACGAGTACCCTAATGATCACAAATAGATTTGATGTGCAATTTGATTCAAGTCATCAGAATTCGGGGCGATTGTTGTTACTTTAATGTATTGATAATGGATGGTTGTGTTTAAGTGACGATGACCCGCTGACGGGAGTTTACTTAATACTAGGTCACTATAATGAAAATGTCTGCAGACTTGGACTACGAAGGTGCATAAGAGCATAGAGAGGGAAAGGGGAGAGAGAGAGAGAGAGAGAGAGAGAGAGAGAGAACATGGGGAGGGTAGTGGTTCGCAAGGAATAAGAAAACTATCTCGAAATAATGTTTGTTTTATAGTACGAGAGGGAGAGAGAGGGGGAGAGAGGGAGGGGGAGATGAAGGGACAGGGATAGCCACGGGGTGGTGGTTCGTAGGGAGTAAGAGAGCCAGCATGAAATATTTTTGTTTCATAGTACGAAAGAGATATATTGAAAAGGTTTTAGTGAGGTAAGAATAAGCGAGATAGAGGGAGAGAGAGAGAGAGAGAGAGAACGTGAAAGAGAGGGAAGGGGGGCTGGGAAAGACATACACATTCACTGAAACACAGTTTAAATTAGTTTCTAATCAAAATTTTAAAAGCTTTTAGACTAATTCATAACGAAGATTGAGTGATTCACTGAGGCTACAGCCTACAGGCCGACAGTCCACCAGACAGACAATCAGTGGACTTTTAAATTTGCACGTCGACATAATGGTAAGGCATTCTAGTCTCAAACAAACCAACACCATTAAACCGAGTGCCAACACCATTAAACCATGCCCCAAATTTAGTAATCTTCTTTTGTGTATCGAAAGACCGAGGTTTCCCGGGGTTATTTAGGAAAATGGAAATTTAATACTGGTAAGATGCTAGAAAACATCACTAAATCTGAGATCGAAATATATCTCATTGATGAAACCATCTAAAGGCATATTATGAGTTTGTTGATAACGCCATCTTCGACGGCTTGCACCAAGTGTGTAGGACTTCTTCGTATGCTATCCGTGTAGGATCGACCTGGCGGCGCAGATTCTGGACTAGATCACTGAAATTCTGAAATATTTGCCGTCATCATGTCTGCAAAAAAAGAGAATAAATCTTTCGGAATGTGGAATACACAAACACCATCGTATTCTAAAGAAACCCAAGAGTTATTAAAAGGTAAATATCAACGTTAATCGAGTGTAGGGCCTCAATTTATTTAGAACGATATTTTTTCCAACGCACCAAAAACAAAACGCAAAAACAAGTTGTCATGGAAATGCCAAGCGATTTTTCCTTTTCAGTTGCGAAATGAAATGCACACCCGACGTTTCTAGTAATGTGTTTCCACCTCAGGGTCTTGTTGAATTGGAAATATTTGTTGTGGTAAATTTTAGTGAGGTGTAGACCTATCTCTCGTCGAAAAGCCTCGGTAGATTTTCAACTTTGAAGATAATTTTATTGGCCAGGCCCCACTCATTGTAAATGGTGTTAGCCTACTAATACTATTATGTTAGTGCAGATCCCACACGTCGTGTGCACACATAGCTGCATTACTATCCTGGCTGTGTATTAAAACCTGTTCTATTGATTCGCAACATTTCAAACCCCACTGTACAAAACTCAACTGATTTCACTCAAAATCGGAAATAGTAACAATTGATAACACCTAAACAGCAGTAAAATACAATTTTGTTCAACTTAGTTACTTACCGATGCTAGCTAGACGGAATAATTTGAAAATTCAAATCGTGAGTCTACTGTCATACTTGCTTACAGCCGCATCGGCATGATTGTGTGCATTTGTGTATTATGTGTGTATTGACTATTCATGTGTGCAAATGCTGCGTATTGTAGTGCAGCGGTCAATACGAGGTCAATAGACAATACGCATTAGCATTGACTCTATGCTGCTGGAGTGTTCACAGCAGCATTATTTTTCTATACTCTGTGTATAATAAATAAAATTGAGATTCTATTAAAACACTCTCTATTGATTCTCAAAACTCTCAAACACCACTGTAAAAAACTCGCCAGTATTCACCCAAAATCGACATGTTATTGACAACTTATGACAACTAAATATCAGTAAAATAGAGTCTACAATCAATTCAACCGACCGATGTTCAAAGATATACTTTGAAAATCTGAAAAAATAATCTATCATCATCAATCCCGGCAAAGTGCCACTTCATATTCAGTGTGTGTATTCTTAGCCAGTGTGTGTATACTTGGTCAAAGCACTAGAGGTCCAATGCTTGAATCTCTGAGATAACTTGACCAAAACAATCGGCCGCTAAAAACATTTGTTCCTATTGCAAACACAAAAAAGGTCCCAATTGTGAGATTTATAAGTTATTTGCTTGCAGAGATCGAGTCCTCTCTTTTCTAACAGACATATCCCATATCTTGTTGTTCTTTTTGCCATAGTAATGATGAAAGAATCAAAACTGAACAATTTCCAGGCAAGACAACTGCAGAAAACAATGAAAGGTAAGTCTACACTGATCTTTTTATTTGCAGCAAACAAAAAAAAACATTTAAAGGAAACAGGTAACTAATTCTGCTGCATCCAATTGTGCTATACATGTAGATGATGAATGCGTAATTGCCATGAGCTTAGAAGTGGACAATCAAGTTCTTTCTGTTTTGTGGGTCATTATTCCCCATTCAGGTTCAAATAATTCCAACACTGTTTGTCAGTGGTTTATTAGCGAGAAAAAAAATATCAAAAAGTTACCACAATTAATTAAAAATCCTGACAAAATGCATCGGCTTAACAGTGTGAGACAGTGTAGCACAAAACAATTGCAAATTCTTCTTTAAAAAAAAAATCAAATATTATTTTTTTTTCTTCTCCCCTTCCTAACATGATGAATAATATAATCTAATCCTAAGCCAAATTGAATTGGAATTTACGTTTTCAGATGGAGCTGCCCTCCCATTAGCATGTAACCCAACAACCAGTGCCAGACCAGCGCAGCCTCTTCTTCCTCAGAAGCCAAGCATCCGTGTGAATCCAAAGGGATACGGCAAGGGAGTACGCACCAAGGAGGATATAGAGGACTCCGGGGCCTATGAGAGAGACATGTACACGGGTGGTGGAGTAACAAGTAAGTTGGGACACCTTAAATAGAGTCTGTGAAAGTAGGAAAGGGATAGGTTATAGGGCATATCGTATGTCTGGAGCCAGGAGGATGTGACCTCATATGCTTTAAAGCCCCACTGCACTACTTGTAGCTTGCGCCCTCTACATACATGTAGCAAACAATGGTTAAGCGGTACCCGTTGGTCCCCCCTTTTAGTTATGTTAATTGAGAGCTGATTCGATGAGATAACCACCAATCAGTGACCAATCAGTGACCTCGCCAAACTAGTACAGACAGGCTTTAACACCTGTAGAGTTAACACCCTTCTGGCTCTGAACAGACAATATATAATGTAATGAAGCACAGAGTGTGAAATTTTATATGAACGTTAATAATATATTATTATAATTTCATGAAGGACTACCATTATCTTGAATGATATCTGCTTATGATATGTATTTACCAAGGCCATGTTTCAAAGCATTTCTCAAACCAGTGATGTTATTTTGAATAAATAAGGCATAGCGGTGCCGGTATAGCTTATATCAATTTCTGATATGCAGAAAGTAACTGAAATCAGTAAATTTTGTTTTGTAAATTAGAATCGATTTCTATTTTTCAATACATTTGTATAAACACATTTTTCTGTAGGCTTGGTGTCTACATCCATGTAAAAGGCAATCATGAATTATGTTCTTGTGAAAGATTGATTAGAAGAATGCTAATTACATTAATAATGCATCACAAATATAATTTGACATTTGTTGTAGAGTAAAAGTATATAAGTGTTGTTACATGTATTCCATTTGCCTTACATACAAACCTACAGGAGTGATATTGTGCATGGCTATTTGACATATATGGTTATAGTAGACAGAGTATTTAATTAGTTAAACATATTTATTTTTGTGTGTGCAGAGTCATTAGACAAGGAGAAAGAAAGATTACAGAACTACATGGCTTACGGTGAAGACATCCCTCCCATCTCTGAAGAGCGTAAACGGGAGGTCCTGAAAACCCCTGAACCTGAACCAATGATTGATAGATTCGCAGACTGTAAGTATAGCTTGGTGAAAGAAACTGGGCAGCGTTTCATGAAACCGTCATAAGTATAAGTTCACCGACATCCCATTGGAACCTGTGTTAAACCTAACGCACGTATTTCCATGGGATGTCGGTGAACTTGTACTTATGACGGTTTCGTGAGAAGCTGCCCAGTATGCCAGTAATTGGAAAAGGTCGTTCTTGTAGCCCATAAGTATTAGTGTGTACTGTGAAGTTGTGGAGTCATCAAAGTGATAAGAAATTGTCCCAGTCTTGAAAAAATTAAGTCATGTGTACTGTACACAGAAATGTGTATATGGGACTACAGAAGATGTGACATTAGATTGTGGTCCAGAATAGTATGGGTTTTAGCTGTTACTTGTCAGATATAGAGTATGAGGGCAATTGAGAAGCCGTCCTATTCAGGGGACATTATCATAATTAGAATGGAAGAGCTCACAAATTATTTGTCCATCTTTCCCAGAACTCATGCAACTAGCTTCTCTTTGTTCATTCATTCATTCATTCATTCATTCATTTTATTGCACTAGCAGCATAACAATGAAAACAGATGAATTTTAAAATGACAAGATGCATATGAGAATTTGTGGGAGATAGTGGTTTGCAAATTATTTGATATGAACCTTAATAAAGAGTTTGTATATAGTTATCTATCAGTTTTATCATGGACTTCCATTATCACGTACAGATGATGTAATAATAATAATAATAATCCGTTTTTTTATATAGCGCTCAATACACCGATCCAACGATGTGCCTAAGCACTTTACAGATATATTATGTATGGACTATTTTATCCAAGGCTATGTTTTTACATAAGTTTACCCACTGAAAAAGAAAAGATACATGTAAATCATCTGTACAGCCTACCTGTATGCTAATCTCTGTACCTCTGTTCATATATTTTCTTCATTTTCAGGCATGTACATGGACAATTGAATACCAGTTATGTATCTTTTTCACAGACAGTGATTTGTTACTGTATTGCATATATATGTCAATGCCCTGAACTAGGTTTTGATTACCAGGAGCTTATGGTTTAGAGTAGAAACTAACCTTTGTGTACTTGTATCTATTTTCTGAAATTTCTACCAATTTCAGTGGAAGCGGAGATTCAAGAGAGGGTGGAGTTTCTCGAGGACATGAAGAAGATGGGCAAGGAGAGGCAATACAAAGCCATCATCGGTACTGAGATATCTATGGTATGTTACTATCAGACAGTGATGATAATATAGAAATATCGACTGCTACGAAAGGACTGGCTGTTTTAATACGCTCAAGGGGTGATAGCAGCAGAGGCAAATTTCCCCGAGAGCCAGTATAGAAACAGCCAGTCCTCAAGTATTAAAGCAGTCGATTTTATTATTTTCCCGGTAAGTGGAATTTCGAGGGATTTTACTCTTGGACTATTAAATGGTTTGGGCATTTTTTGTTTCTTTATGGGAATGGCTAAAATCACGACTGCAATTTCGACCAATCAGATGGCTGGATTTCTTAAGTGAGGTGAGGAGTGAGGATGATAGCGATGATGATGATCATGATTGCGATGGTGATGATAATGATGGTGATGATGGTAATGATAATGATGATAGTGATGGCAATGGTGATGGTGATGGTGCTGCTGCTGATGATGATAGTGATGATGATGATGATGAGAAAGATGATGAGAGTGATGATGATAGTGATGATGATAGTGATGATGATGATTGTGATGATATAGTGATGATGATGATTGTGATGATATAGTGATGATGATGATGATGATGAGAAAGATGATGAGAGTGATGATGATAGTGATGATGATGATTGTGATGATATAGTGATGATGATGATTGTGATGATATAGTGATGATGATGATTATGATGATATAGTGATGATGATGATGATGAGAAAGATGATGAGAGTGATGATGATAAAGTGATGATGATGATTGTGATGATATAGTGATGATGATGATGAGAAAGATGATGAGAGTGATGATGATAATGATGATGATGATTGTGATGATATAGTGATGATGATGATTGTGATGATATAGTGATGATGATGATTGTGATGATATAGTGATGATTATGATTGTGATGATATAGTGATGATGATAATGATGAGAAAGATGATGAGAGTGATGATGATAGTGATGATGATGATTGTGATGATATAGTGATGATGATGATGATGATGATGATGATGATGATGGTGATGATGATGGTGATGATGATGATGATGATGAGAAAGATGATGAGAGTGATGATAGTGCTGGTGATGATGATGATGACGAGATAGTGATGATTATGATGGTGATATAATGATGGCACTAATAGTGATGAGGAAGTTGGAGGATGATATTGATAGTAACATCTTTGATATCGGAATATTAGAAAAACATCGTTGAAAATTAAGACTATAAATTAAAACTATAAACTTGAAATAAAAGCGCTAACACTCCTTGGTCACATGAATCAGTAGAAATACAGCAAATGCCATACAGTAAATTAAGAAAGTCTTTCCATTGAAGATTTTTGATGCAAACCGTATAATTCTTAACTTGACCTTGATTTTTACAGAAAATCCGAGAAATGGAGGTCATTGACAAACAGAGGACACAACAACTGAAAAAGGCGATGGCGGCGAAGGAAGCAGCACAAGGAAGCTGAGAGGTACCAGCTCATTCTACCCGCTCTGATTAGTTTATGATATTGTCCATTATATATTTGTACAGATGACCAGTGATATATTAAACATTCTTATTCATGTATTCAAACAAATACCAGTTTGAAAAAAGAGGGATTAGCTGAGACTGCTTATGTTGCACCTTTAGACTTAGGAAGTTCTTAAGGTATGTTGACCAAAGAGAAACCATGTTCCATTTAGATGCTGCTTGCTTGTAAGTGTCGGCTTGCATGGTGATGTAGATATACAGTAGGCTTGCGGGTCCAAGAAAGATTACCGAGTCCTTTTCAGGACTCCTCAACCCTCTCTCTCTCACATGGGGCACCCGCAAGCCTACCGTACATGTTCCATTTGTTCAAAAGATCAGCTACAAAGTCTGGTTTGGAATTTATTTGTTCATATTTCGTTTTATATTGATATGGAAGGCAGTTCACAGAAAGGAGGAAAAATACTTTTGTGATATGGAAGTCGGTCTACATCCTTACATAATGCAAGTGAATAAGCTCACCTCTCGATACTTGATGAAATATGTGCATACTTAGCATATACATTCGCATAGATTTCTATTAAATTTAGAATATTGTGAAATAGGTATTTTAGTAACTTTATGATTTTATGAACAATTTCATGTAATATATAATAGATATAGGTAATTGTGTCCCCCCTTTTGTGTAGACATGTATACGATTTGAAAATATTCAAATGAAGGCTTCATTTATGTTTCTTTGTAACTTTGTGGTAATTGTTGAATGATATTGCATGTTTTACTGGTGTATTTACTTGTGCAGATAGAGGTACCGTAGGTGAATAGTCAAGATTTGTCATTAAGTATGGATCAGTTCTGTGACTTCCAGCTACATGGCTTGTGCGACTGGCAGGTTCAATATTAGATATTCTGCTGAGAACTTGAGCGGGGTTTCACAAAACCGTCATAAGTACAAGTTCACCTCTAACCCATTGAAATGTGTGTATTGAATTCAACACGCGTTTCAATGGGATGTCGATGAACTTGTTCTTATAACGGTCTTGTGAAACAATGCCCAGAAAGCTGTAAATTCTTTTGTGAAAAGATCCAAGATTCTGGCTGGTATGAGTGGAAATGTGTTATTCAAATGCTCACATTTTCCTTTTTTACAAAAAAAAAAATCATCATCCCTCTCTGTCGTTCCTTTGTGGATAGAAAACATATACAGCCTTAGGCATTTCTACACCATTCATTGCTATTATTTGTTTAGACTGTAGTCATGGAGACTGGGGAAACATGCTCACACGTGCAGGGCTCATCAATGTGCTTGTCATGCAAACACTTGATTCGCACCATCTATTGTGGTGCCGCTTCGACCTCTTTACATAGTATAAATGCATTTTCTTATTGTAAATGTATATTTCCTCATTTTTAAAAGATGTTTTATTAGAAAATGTGCCCTCCAATCATTGTTCCATCTACAATTGATTGGAATTGTCTAATTATTGATGATTTAAATTAACTGCATATATCGTTGTAAGCATTCTGAATGTCACAAGAAAAATGTATTTATTGCTAGTGATATTTTGTAAATTTGGTATTTAATGAAAAATAAAAATGATGTGAAACTGTATTTTTGTTTACTGCATGTACTTATTAAGTTACTGCAGATGACAAACATTTGTTTTCTTTGAATGAGTAAATCTTTGAGAAGTAAAAGATATGTTTGAGTATTCATATAACTACTAGGGCGCTTTAGTAACGAGACGGTACGCACAGGAGACGGTAATGCGAGCGAAAAAAACAAACTGCGCATGCGCGATTCTGAATTATCTCCGTCCCGTCGATTTTCGGAACGGTACTCGGCCAACATAGCGTTCGTTCCCTAAACAGGACGTAAGAGAGAGAGCTGACAAATAATTTGTTTCTAGATCTAACAATGCAGGGCCCTACTGAAGATAAAAACAGGGAATCTACTAGTGTTTCCAATGTCTGTTCGGTATCTATACCTCAATCTACAATAAATTGATGGTTTGGCCGTTTAGGCCTACTTTGGGGGCCCTTTTTCATCGTTATGCATGACGTGCTGCACGCTGCGCACTATAGCCCACCGCCGGGTCTATTGCCCCAGGTGTGCAGTTCAGCGCGGCTTTGCGTCCCCGTCGCCTTTAGCAGACAGCGAAAGCGCTTAAACATCACGACGGTAACAAGAGTGCGAGACCCGTCACAGTTGGTTAAACACTCCGTCTCCTGTGCGTACCGTCTCGTTACTAAAGCGCCCTACTGTCCCTCGGAGAGGACCTAAAGCCGTCGGCCGTCTGGTTGCTTACTTACAAGCATTTATGCTTTCTGTAGCAGTCGGGTAAAATAACCACCATCACCATATGTATTCCAACAGTATCCAAATCATCACAGCCACATCAGAGTTTAATCTTTTATATATATATATTTATATGCGAACTTTTAATTAGAAGTCCAGTATATTTGCCATGTACACAAACAGAGATATGAAATCAGTTACCATTGCAGATAGATTGGGAGTATAAAATTCATACAATCATAATACATACTTACAGCATTCGCACAATACATTAGACTAGGCAGAAATTTGTTGACCCTTAAACAGATGAAATGCCATCGGGGCAAGATATAATGCTTTATTAAAAGCATGCATTAAGAAATACAGATGATTACTAGCATTAAGAATATGCCATGGAAGTTTAGTAAACCCAAATCGTTTCATAATATTTGAATTATGAGTTATTTTGATATCTAATGTACGACGAGTGATAACTACCTTTATTTAGTATTACAGATATTAGCCCTAATAAACAACATTGTCAAAATGTGATGGAAATAAATAGCCTTTACTCTTCACATTCATCCGTTAATCACATAAAACCCTCAAGACTAAAATTACACAAAAACGAATTACACAGCATAGATGCATAAAAAGAAAATGAAACGGAACCATAATAAAATACATATTATTTTAAAAAGCATGAAAGCTACTGAAGACAAAGCTTTAAAATACCTAAGAATCTCAAATATATAATAAGTTTAAAATACAAGACATCAAAATTGACAGAGGCAATTTATCTATTGTATAAACAAGGCAACATCACGTTTAATGTGTTCACTGTATTTTGGTAACTTTGAAATAAAATAAAACACTAAGCAAGCTGTACAAATATTTGTAAAATGTCATTTAACTTTCTATGCATATAAGAAAACAAGGCAACTCATAATTTATGACAGCATATGCCTGTACGATAATAAATAGAAAATGTTTTAAGTCACAGAACAAATGCTTTCTACCACTGAAGCATATAATTATGATTAGAATATATAAAAATCATAATGTAAATGTATAATGAAAATGTTATTGCATTCTTTTCTCTTTTTCTTTTAAAAACAGATACATATAGTCAATTTGACAATAAGGCAAAGAAAGGGGTACACAACAAGGTTATCTACTTCACTCATTTGAAACATAGCTTCATGTTGTGATAACTTCTTGCACTGAAAGAAGAAATTAGATTATGTCAATTGCAGCATTACTGTGACATATCTTTGGCCTAACCGTATAAAATATGCAGATGTGCAATGCCTGACCACAATTTGGCAATTATACCCTGGACTGTTTGAATTTTAAAAAAGTGTGTATTATCCTGATTCCAGTATTGAGATGTTTTCCACAAAGTAGCAAACGGTCAAAGGTCATTGGTTCGAGTCACAGCAAGGCATTAAACTATTGTCTTTTGACAAGACCTAATCAACATTTGTCACTCTCGACTCAGGTGTAGAAAATGGGTACCTCTTGGAAGGAAGTCCTGTCGCTAACGCCAAGAAAATTTTGGGGTGCTATGAGCACTTGAGGTGAGGTGAGTATGAGTGAAATACAAGATACGCAGAACAAATTATTTGTTTTATAATTGAAGAAGAAAACTGAATAAAAGCAGCCACTAGAAGAAAACAAATTGTTGATAATTTTTTAAAACAGCTATTCTTCTTTAGTCCCATACAGGCCTTCCCTTGTTACCACGAGTGCATGATGCTATCACACTCCATCTCACTCGTACCCTGCTTTGTTGGACAAGATTTTCTCTAAAAGCAGCAAATCTAGTTTAGATATACATTCAGTTGTTTCAGTAGTGCCTTCAAAGAAAAACAAATCTTTTCTGTAGCTTATGCACCTCATACAAACTTTCATAGGGGAGAAGAAGTAAATCCTGTCTAAATATAATAAACAGCTTATGTGCCTTGAGATGCATGACCTTTTTTCTATGATGCTGACAGAATTAAAACGCTGTGGCATGATGAAATATAATGTATGACAAAAAAAATTAAAATACTTCAAATATGTAGCTCCCTCTTGTGATAACACAACGTACAGTCATGTACCAGGTAGGTACATTGGGTGAAACCCAACTGACTTGAATAAACTTGAATAAAATCGACGCCTTTTTCACAAAAATGAGTTGATGGTAATTAAATGGTCACTTAAAGAGAAGGTCTGGCTTATAATCATTTAAAATATGTCACCACTTACATAACGTCTACAGAGTACAATAGTGGTTAGTATTAACAAGTTAAAAGAAATTCTTAATATCTATACAGCTCTTACTACAAGTATCATCCACTTTGTACATTTACATCAATATTATATTAAATTCTAAAGCTGACAAGAAAGTCTTGCATAAAACGAAACAGAATTCAACTGCAGATATGCAACCCTGCACATACATGTATACAAGATTAAAAGTTCATGAAACATTTCTAATATATAGGTGACAAACGAGCAGCGAATGTCCCATTTCAACGATTGATTTCAGATAGGAGAACAGAATGGACACACCTCTTGTTGAAAAGACACGTAACAATGGATAAAACAATGGAAGCACATACAAGATAAAGCTATTAAACAAAGGCATCATTTTCATCATCGAAAGGCCTGTGACACATGATGTATGAACAAGAATTAAGACTCTATTAATTAAAGAGCGATGACAACTTCACAGGTAATCATTTATCTTTTAAATAACTAGCAAAGACTCAACTTGTTATTACATATACCGCATACACATGAAATATTCATATTGCGAGAATGAGTGCATTTATACTGCTTCGTCTGCACTTTTTTCATCAAATTCTCAAACGTATTGCATGAACACAATTTGGTCGTTATAATATATTAATTTGGGAAATTGTGCATGTCTCTTTTCAAAGGATACTTGCTATAGCATAGACAACAAGGCTTGTAGCTCACTTTACAAATACAAGATCATCAACCTAAATTCTTGAATAACTTCCTCATTTTTAAGTCGACATAGGAAAGATGCCTACGTAATACTAAATAAACATAATCCTCATATATATTGAAATAGCAGCAAAAGTTAAGACACATATATCAGTATCGGTTAATACCTTGCATTTTCATGGGGCTAAATATACAGTTATTATGATATACATGTAGCTTCGCTTCGCGGAATAATACAAGTCACTTTTCCTTCGGCATAAGATGGAGTTGTTTACAAACAATCGCATCAAATTCTATAAAAAAACTCAAACATAGCTTGCTATGACATTAGTTCTCTCATTTGAAATTTTATTTCTTTAATTACTAATTCAAGATTAAGGCATCATTATATTCCATATTAGAAATACCAACTCACCCAACATTTGTATAAATATGAACCCCTTTATAATTTTACTGTCAACGACAGAAATGTGTCATTATTAGGGATTAAATGCAAGTTCCAAACTACTTGCTCCTTGCATTTTGCTCTATTGCAGTACGTAAATATGGTTCATTAAAAAATCTTGGGGATGCACATGTCTGCAATGGCTGTAAACTTCTTCAATAGTATAGTTCAATGGTGATCCTCTTCAAGAGTGTTATAATCTCTTTAACACTGCATCTGGTGGGTAATGTAAGGCTACAGCAAGGTGAGATGAGAAGAGATGGGGTATCCACCAGTCTTCACTTGATGAGACCCAGCTTGTGCTTTTTCTTGTGCTTCTTATCTTTCTTCTTGTCACCTGTAATAATAAAATTTAAAAAATGATAACAATATGAAGGATAAAATAAATAATCACTTTCAGTACAAATTTCACTGCTTATATCCAATTATATCCAATTATTTCCTACCTCCTTTCTCTGCTTTTTATCACCATCACCAACCATCATCTTCATTTTCATCTTCATCATCATCAACACAACACAACAAAAAAACACTACTACCATCACCATCACCAACCATCATCTTCATTTTCATCTTCATCATCATCAACACAACACAACAAAAAAACACTACTACCATCACCATCACCAACCATCATCTTCATCATCATCAACACAACAGTGGCGTACCTGGGATACTCCGTCAGGGGGGGCAAGCGACCGAAACAAACAAAAAAGGCGATGCTAATTTTCACTTCTGGCGAGCGAGCGAGCAAAACAAAATCTTTAAGTAACGTTTGGTATATAAACTGGTATTGTTGCAAGTTGGGGATGGGAACATTTACTTGTTAGCGACGTTAATTTAATTTTTTTGCAAACGAGTGTAGCGAGCAAGAAAAAAATCACTTCTTTTTTAAGAATTGCCACTTAAACTTGGTTCAATTGTCCCATGCAGGGCGCGGGAACAATATTGTGTTTAGGGTGATTTTATACCCATTTTAGCTAGCGAGCGAAAATACATCTTTCTCTCTATGAATTGCTGTATAAAATTTGTTTCATTGTTGCAGGTAGGGGGCGGGCACAATCGTGTTTAAGGCAATGTCAATCCCATTTTGGTGGGCAGGCAACCCCCTACATTTCTCTTTTTAATGATATTGTAGCAGGTTAGTGGTGGGCACATAATTCCACGAGCTAGCGAGCGAAAAAAAAATCACTTCTCTTTTATAGGGAAAATATGGTACATAAAACTTGGGTTCATTGTTCCATGTCAGGGACGTGATTATTAAAAGCGGTGTTATTTCTATTTTGGCGAGCGAGCGTAGCGAGCGAGCAAAAAAAATCACTTCTCTTTTATAGGGAAAATATGGTATATAAACTTGGGTTCATTGTTCCATGTCAGGGACGTGATTATTAAAAGCGGTGTTATTTCTATTTTGGCGAGTGAGCGTAGCGAGCGAGCAAAATTTTTGTAATGATAATTGGTTCATAAATTTCAGATTTTTTTGTTGCAGGGCAGAGCTTACACAATCATGTCTAAGGTGATGTTAATTCCATTTTGGCGAGCACGAACACCTCAAAACTTCTTTGAATAACGTTTGGTACATAATTATTAACTGGTTGTTGCAGGTTGGGGCGGGAACGTTAGCGGTGTCAATTCCATTTTGGCGAGCGAGCATATCGAGCAAGCAATAAAAAAAAAAAATTCTCTTTTAATAAAAATTAATAAATAAACTTGTTTTTATTGGTGCAGGTCAGGATGGACGCAATCGCGTTTAACGCGATTCAATTCCTTTTTGGCGAGAGGGCGAAAAAACTCTCCCATTTTTAATGATATTGTTGCAGGTCAAGGGTGGACACAATTTTTTCCAAAGCAATGTCTATTCATTTTATTCGCGAGCGAGTGTAGCGAGCGAGAAAAATGAATTAGTCTCTTTTAGTAACATTTGGTACATATATTGTGTGTTATTGTTGCCATGGTTGCAGGTTGGGGCCCGTCGGGGCAGGCACAATTGTATTCTAGGCAATACTAATCCTTTCTTTTTTCAGGGGGACGAGCAAGTGAAAACATTTAATACAAAATAGGCTACCAAGCAGTTCGCGCCAGCGAAGAGTTTCGAATTTGTTATATCACTTATATTTTCCTATTTTCATTTGTTTTAATTTTTCAGGGCCGTATGCGGAATATTTTTCTGGTGGGGGAGGGGGAAGATGCGTTAAAAGTTTTCGAAGAATCTCAAAAGCAAAAGGAGTGAAGGGAGTTCGAGCGACCGAACTGGTCATGAGGGTACTTTTGCATTTTCAAAAGTAGAATTGAAGGATTTGGTAATTAAAGGCGTACACTACATTTTCAGGAAAAAAACTGTACGTTTTCAAAATATCTGGGGTCAACTGCCCCCCCCCCCCCCCCCCGCTCTTGGTGCTTACGGCCATGGTTTTTTTTTTTTTTTTAAATTTCCCCATTTTTATTCCTTTCCTTTTCTTTTCCCTTTTTCTTCCTTTTCTCTTCTTCTTCCTTTTTTCTTTCCTTTTTTCTCTTTCTTTCCTTTTTTCTTCCCTTTTCCTTTTTTTTTTCTTTCCTTTCCTTTCTTTTCTTTTCTTTCCCCTTTTTCTTTTTTTCCCCTGGAGCCCGTCAGGGGGGGCACTCTGCCCCCCTGCCCCCCCCCATAGGTACGCCAGTGCAACACAACAAAGCACAACACAACAACAACCACCACCACCACCACCATCATCAACCATCAACTTCATAGTGTCCACTGTCATTACATTCATCATCACGATCTCATCTCCATATCACCACTATCGCCATTACCACAACTGCTTGCTACTCACCTCCAGCACCCATCATGGCTTCTATGTCTCTACCCTCGGCCTCCTCTCTCAGTCTGTCATCATTAGCAACCTAAGACCTCATTCCCACCACCCCGCCATCATAAATACATTCAGCACCACTTTCCTCATATTCCCATCTCATTACCAGTAAATGTACCAAAACCCTTAATTTTTTCCCCATTTCTAGTATATTCATATCCATTACCCATCATCATCTGCCTACTCCCCCATTAATCACCACCACTGCTGTCGCAACCACCACCACCATCACCACCACGACTAACATCACCCCACCACCACACCACTATCTCGCACATATCACTATCACCTAAATATCTTCATCCTTGCTACTCCTTTCCAGCACCCATCATGGCCCCTATCCCTTGCCTCCTATCTCAGTCTACAACTCCTATAACCACTACTACTCATACAAACAACACCACCATCATCATCATGTCTCCCCAGCACATGACTATCTCCCACCTCACTAATCACTTCCAGTTCCCATCATTGCTTCTATATCTCTATCCTCCGCCTCCTCTCTCAACCTATCCTCCTTCAATCTCTCCAAGGTCTGGTTTCTCCACCTTTATCGATCATCATCATCACCATCATCATCATTATCATCATCACCATCACCACCATCATCATCATCATCATCATCATCATCATCACCATCGTCACCATCACCATCAACATCATCATCATCACCATCATCACCATCACCATCATCATCATCATCACCATCATCATCACCATCATCACCATCATCATCACCATCATCATCATCACCATCATCGTCATCATCATCATCATCATCACCATCATCATCGTCACCATCATCATCATCTGCATCATCATCATCACCTTCATCATCATCATCACCATCATCATCACCATCATCATCATCACCATCATCATCATCATCACCATCATCATCACCATCATCATCATCACCATCATCATCACCATCATCATCATCACCATCATCATCACCATCATCATCATCATCATCATCATCACCATTATCATCACCATCATCATCATCATCATCACCATCATCATCATCACCATCATCATCACCATCATCATCACCATCATCATCATCACCATCATCATCATCACCATCATCATCATCACCATCATCATCACCATCATCATCATCGCCATCATCATCATCATCATCATCACCATCATCATCCCCCACTATCATCTTACACATACCATCACACACCGTAATCTTCACCACCATGCTACTCACTTCCGGTCCCGATCATTGCTTCTATCTCTCTATCCTCCATCTCCTCCCTCAACCTGTCCTCTTCCAGCCTCTCAACGATCTGGTTCCTCTTCTGGACCACCTCCATCAGCATCTCAAGGAGCTGCTCCTCCCTCGTGGCGTCGGCATCGATCCTCTCGTGCTCCTGCTTTTGGAGGATCACCCGGAGCTCAAACTCAATCTCGGCATGCTGGAGCTCTAGCTCCTGCTGTTGGGCCCTGAAGGGACACAAAGAGAGAAAAATCATCAATATTCTGGAGCGTACCGCCAGTGAACAAAAGCATACATGAGCAGGTTACTTGCGACCGACAAGTTTAAAGAGAGCTCTGTAAAATATGCTCCAAATATTCCATTGCCTATCGGATAATGATACTTTCAATAAACTTCTTAAAAACTTAACAGTTCACTGCAATAGAATCATCAGGGTAAAGCATGAACAAGGATTTCAGGCACATTCAGAAGTTAACACAGATCTCAAATTCTCTTTGAATCTTTAATCAGGAAACAGCTATATTTGATAAATTGATACACAAAAACATAAGTTCAAAGGTTCATTATTTCTTGTGCTTTTGTGTATTTTCTGTGACCTTTGACATTTGACCTCGTGACCCCAAAATCTAATCAGTTCATTGGCTCTGCAAGATACCGGTACATACATGACTCAAGTTTGGCGGGAATCCATCAATTGGTTCTTGAGATAACGCGATCCCAAGAATGGGACGTACGGACAACCCGAAAACAAACATAAAAATAATAATGATAACATTAATCTACACACTCTCTTTCGTAATTCTTGAAAGAGTTGATAATAATAAATATGCATTTTATTTGCACGAAGACATCAAAACCCAACTGTGAATACTTCACAATGTATCCCATTGCCATTTACATTGTATGGACACATGATCAGAGCAGGGACTAGCCTCTTTGACACTTGAACAGGTAATGAATCACATCAACACAATATTGGCAACAACATTTACCCCATCAATCATGATGAATATGGTACATGTCTAACAATGACAGAATGAACATCGCAAGCCAGGACTCAACTAAGGTCATCCAAGTGTCAAACTTTTAAATTCCAACACTCTGCACTTTACCTTTGAAAGTACAGTGAAACCTGTCTATAAAGACCACCTAAGGGAGATGAGAAAGTGGTCTTTAAAGGCAGGTGGTCTTTGTTTACAGGTGCCGATATAGTACATGTTTCAATGAGAAACCATTTTCAAGGGAAACAAAAAATGTGGTCTTTGTAGACAGGTGGTCACTAAAGCAGGTTTGACTGTATTTTGGTTTAACTAATTTCAATTAAATGGTCAAATACATGATTGTTTAAATGTATTTATCTGATGATAATGAACTTGATAGCATAGTGAATACACAGTGTGACTGTGAGACAAAATTTACACAACAGCAACATGTATATTTAAGAGGGAATTTCAGGAAAGACTATAAAATCACTAAATACATGGATGATGACGAATCTCAACAATTAGAACTGCTCACAAACAAAATGTTCCTAGCACAAAATCAAAAGATATTGAAATGCCATACTTAAATACGCTAAGAATGTCTTAGCTCTTGCAAGCTGTATGTAAGAGACCAGGGGACATGATGGAATCTTCATAATTCATAATTGAGAACATTTTTTTCCCTTTAGTTGAAAGCAGATAAAAGGACATAAATTTCTGATGAACAGATTTCCAAGTCTTAAAAGCTCTGCTCCAGACTGGTTATGACCATCTTCTTCCAAATAAAAACAAGAAAATCATGACTAACTCCACATCAGCTCATAAGATATTAATCATTGTGGTAACCACCATGTGGTCTTTTAATCGATAGCCTTTCAAGGAAATCCTACATGACAGTCACGGTTTTTAGTTGAACGGAAGCGATGAAAGTGTCCCCAGAGTTATCTAAGGATTAAATAAGTTACGTCATTATTGTTTTATGACTCAGCACCCTAAATCCTTTCAAGGGTTCATATATTGCGTAAATTGGGGTGGAACAAGATTAAGAGCCTGCCTGAACAAATCTACGAGAAAATTCATCCTTCACCATGTCACTAATGCAACCACTACAGCCACCTCCCCCCCCCCCCCAAAAAAAAAATGAAGAAAAAGAACATCAACAAAACAAAAGACCAAACAAATCTGAGATTGATTAATCAAAATAGACATCCGAGCATATTAAGTAAAACTTTTCAAAATGTACTTCCCACTTTAAATTTGTCTAGCATTTGATTATTTCAATGCTTCAAACTCTATACTTTGGCTTTCATGAGAGACTCGTTGGTTTGTTAAAAGCCCCAAAAAATCCAACAGAAAAGCTCTATTATCAACTGGCATTTGTGACTCAAAATTGTAATAGTTGGATGCAGCAGATGTGTTTATTGATTGTCTATGGGAGATAACGCCCTGTGTTCCTAAGAGGGATGACACTTTTGTTTAGGAAGAGAGTGGAATAGTGATACACTTGACAACTAACTGACTCAGAGACAACAAAAGTGTACAAACACTGCTTGGGCAGTGTGATTGTGTGATCTGAGATTAGAGAAGGCTGTGCCATGACCAATAACACATGTTCTTTTGAAACTGGACCGGTCAGCAAGACACACTGAATCATTAGAAATGTAATTGATTTAAGTTACGATTCTTTAATTAGAGGTCAGGAGTAATGGAATGTCATGTGCTCAAGGGGTTTATATTTATGTCAGGTCATATCTAGGACTGCTTTCTCCCATTTTAATGTTATTTGTCCACTACATAATACTTTGAAACCCATTTCAACCATGAATTCTGACTATACGTTAAACTACTTCTTGAATTAGATTGTCCAACTCCCTTCAAACTTTAAGAGGTCAAGAGATACTCCACACTGTATACATGGCACTAATTACATTATAAAAGCATATTAGTTTGATCAAAGCTTTTCTATAGTACTTACAACTTTAACTTTGTCGATAACATGTCGGATAAAATGCTTTGGGGTTGCTTTTTATCGGCAGTATTTAAAAAAAAGTCTGTGATGACAAAGATTAGACATAGAGGGAGCCCTTTTACTTACTGTGCGATGAGTTCTCCTTCTCTCCGAACTAGTTTGTTCTTCTGATTGACCACATCAAACCATTCAGCAAGGAGAGTATCATCATGGGCAGCATCATCTGAAATGAAATGTATCACAAAATATGAAATTTGAATATAAATTCTTGTATAAAAATCTTGTGCAGGAGCGGTTCTAGAGTAATGTTTATCTTTAACAAAAATATGTTTATTATTATTTTATTCTATTTATCATTATCATTGTTATAATCATTATCATCATATTTTTTTGTGGGGGGGGGGGGGGGCAATTCAGGGAAGCTTTGGGGATTGTTGCATTCATTTTCTACATGTGCCTCACAATTTTTTTTTTTAGGGGGACTTGAAGAAATTTTAAGGAGGCTTGAGCTTCCTCCCCTCTTCCTCGTTATAGCAAACATTTCTTGGAAACCATATTGACTGAATAGAAAAATACAGTGTTACATGCATGTTAAACTTTGTAAATAGTGTAAATAGTTCACTACAAAACTTTAGGAATTTTATTTGTCATATATTATATATTTGAAAGGTGTTGTAACGATTCAAGCTCTATTTGCTTATGTTTCATCACCTTTCAGAAAGCTCACTATCTTTCTGTTTCTTGTCTTTGTAGTCTTGATCGAGCAGTGTTAGTTTCGATTCTGTTTTCTATCATGAGCATAATGCAACCTTTAACTTGAGACATGACCATGATGGCTATAACCAGAACCAGAACCAAGCTGCTAATTAGGTTAACTTTGCTATTTTCAGGTTGACATTTGAATGTGTATGAGACATGGATACTTCATTTTAAAACATATGTCCTTTACATTGAATTCCTTTCATGCAAAATAATTAGTATGCTCATATTCATTACGCAGTAGGAAATGTCAAATTGCATGCCCTTTGGTATAGTTATAAATATGTTAGTTTTTGACAACATATGTATCAGAGCAATGAAAATATGAACAGGGCATTAATTTTAGCAATTAATATTGTACTTTTTTTGTTAAGTTGTTTTATACATGTACATAAAGGTGTATCCAAAAGAAGTATAAGTATTTTCCCCATAATTCAGACATTTGCAATCACTATACTTGGCCAAAATATACTTTTCTAAATAACTTCTTCTAACATCAAATAGACCAACAGTCTTGAAAGGGGTTATTTTGGAATTAAAATTAAGTAAATGTAAGTGAGCTAGTTCTGCAGGATAAATTTACAGCACCTCAGTATGAGAAAAATTTATTTGTCCTAATTTATGTTTCTTGAGAATGTGACATATTAAAGCTCACATCCAAAGGTATTCAACAAAGACCCTAATTCAACCAGTCCACCTTAAATTCATTCTTGAGTTACAATTTTTTTTTTTTAAATTAAAAAAAATTAAAGGGGTATGACTAATTTAGTTGTTGACTGTACATACAGGTTCATTCGCTTCTTTCAATTGTTATGCATTATAAAAATTAAAAAATCTAAAGTCCTGAATGTCTTGTAGACTCACCATCTGTATCTTGTCTGAGGTTCGTCTCCAGTTCCACACCTCTCTCCTCTAGCTCCCTCTGTCTCTTCTCAATGTTTATCAGCTCCTGCTGGATCAGGGACGTCTCGATGTGGTCCTTACCAACCTGCAGAATGGAGTAATTAGCAAGAGAAATATTTGTTACGTTGTCCGGTAAAATGCCAGTTAATAGTTGCAGTCTGAGCATGAGCAGATAAAGGTCATTGCAGACCAAATTGTGAATACATGGAGACAAAATACTGGATCATGCTCATGAAAGTTTTGTAATCATTATTCATTTATGCACAAGCAGTGCACTCCATGATACACAGGTGGAAGAATTCTTTCAAAAGGGAAAACACCAGGAGTGATTATTTCAAAATGTACAAAGTGGGACCTCATCATGTTTTGAAGATCTGTGGATATTCGGGGTCATTTGGGACATGTGCTAACCATGAACTGGTCTATTTGTAAAGACAGTAGGAAACAAAAAACAAAATATATAGTAACAGAAGAGAGTTATCAATTCTCAACATGGAAGAGTCTGTATTTGAAGATGACTTGATGTCATGAAATCTGAAGTTTTTATTAAAATTATCACAATACAAAACTGAAGCCACATCATTGCAAAAGAATGATTATCAAATGATGACCAAATCAAGAAGCATCATAATCATTAACACACTTGAAAATGTCAATTTGCTATATGGTAGGAATATCCAAGAGCCATTAGATTAAAGCAAGTTTACAACATTTCTGGCCCTTTTACATCAATATTCATGTGCATGGCATGCATTGGAGCATCATAAGGCGTACAAAAAAAGATGTTGTATTGTCCTTTGCGACCGACCCAAAAATCTTAAAATCTAGTCTATGGGTATTAAAGCATTAAAAACTGAGATATATCAGCCCAAGGAGGGATGAAAAAAGGAAGAAGATTTCTGACCGACCGACCCATGTTTTGGCACCTAAAGGGCAATACAACATCTTTTTTTTTTTAGGCCTAATCATTAACACACTTGAAAATGTCAATTTGCTGTATGGTAAAGCAAGTTTACAAGTTCATGTGTATGTCATGCATTAGGGGCCTCTTCTCTTGATCATCAACTTTGTCCGATATTCTATGATCTGGCGAATGTTCCCCATGTTGACCTTTTAAAAACTGACAGCAGGAAACATGACAGGCTATTTTCAAACCTTCGTTTGGACAAGTAAGACACCAATAATGTCTACATAGCCTCAGTTCTTGGTTTCCACTATGTCTGTTAAACACAATAGAAATACAAAATATTTGAAGAATGAATTAAAAGTTACCTCTCTCTTGATGGCCGGAGGGGCGGGCGCTTTCCTCTTTCCTTGTGAGTGTGCTCTGGATGGCGGGGCAAACTTGGGTCGCTCAGGCTATCGGAGGTAAAGGTCAAATGTCAATTAATTACACTGTGAAATATTATCAGCACAATGCTGTAATTACCTTCAGGTATTAAAAAAGACTGCAGAAACTAATTTGGATTTAGCGATCTCCACAGTTTTTGGGAATCATTTGAACTTTCACATCTTACTTTTCAATTCTTGAAATAGTAGATGCAGGAAATCATAAAAATCGCAATAAATGAATAAGTAAATGAAACCCTGTAACAAACAAACAAATTGTGTCAAAATTACATCAATGGAAAGAGCTGTCTGACTTCCTGTAAAATCCAAATTTCAAGCAAAAATGAAATGAAGCAAAAGTTCTTTAGAAAAAAAAGAATACAAAAAGAGTTGTGATCCGCTTTGCTTACAATAATTTCATACCGGTAGATAGTATAGAAGTCATGGCAGTCATAGTAGCAATCGTAAAAAGTAGTTCCTGCTATTCCAACCATTGCGCTCGTTGAAATTGAAATGAAATTGTTTCATAACAGATCCACTTAGGCTGCATGGTTTAAGCTGAGCTCAAAATATTAAAAAATCTCTTTTCCATACCCTCCCTCTTATGTCATCAAAACTAAAAGAATTGAACTAAGAAACTAAGAATTAAGAGATGTATAGATATGTTTATCTCGAAATGAGTCACTGGATTAATCCAAAAGAAATAGATCGTTTTTCCTCTGAAAAGATCCTAACAAAAAACTTGCATACATAAAATCAGATAGCTGTAATGATATCCTTACAGGATTAAAGATAAGAGCTTTGAAGAAAAAGCAAAATCATTGTCTTTATTTACTTGAGATTATTCTCAATTACTTCAGAAATTTCGTTTCTGTTTCATTTTTTAGTTCAATGTAGAGTTATAGTGCTGTAAGCCATGAGCCCAGGGCAAGCGCATGTGGAAATCAATGGTACATCGTTGCTGTGACTGATTAATCGCTGTCATATATTAAGGAGATTGGGCGTGATTTAATCGGCTGCTGATTTCATTCGGATAAGCCAATGGCCGCAAGTGTTTCCTGAATGGCCATGTAGTCTGTCTGACCAAACTTAAAACTAAATAGGCATGATGAAATATGACGAATATCCAATATTTCATTTCCAATATTAAAGCTGCTCATCTACACATAAACATTATTTATTCAACAATAATTGTTTATGTAATTAATAATTCTTTATTCAACATAAATGTTAAATGATTTGAACAATATGCCGCCGACTTGTACTACCTGAACTCAGTGGACAAGTACCCACACACAACTACCCCCCTTAGAATTATTAACCCCCCCCCCCCCTGAAAATTCATGTGTAAACCCTCAGAGAATTATCTACCAGACACTGGGGGTGTGGGAGGGGGGGGGGGTGTATTAGAGATTGCAGAGTTCTTGAATTTGCACCCATTTGACCAAAATTGATTAATTACTTCCTGTAAATGAAAGCAATCTCTAACCCACAACCATGACAGTGAAAACGATACGTGAACTAACCAAAGTTGCTTCAGCTGCTATGACTGAATGGGAAAGGAAATAAAAGATTGGCTACGTGCAGAATATACTTTTACGCTCACAAGCTCTTTCAAGCCCTTTGAGGATTTGCTAGAGTAAATGTGAGATCATCTTGAAACAATTTTCATGAATCTCTTGGTTTTCTACCACAGCTCTTTTTGAAGTTTTAGTTTCATGATACAAAGTGAACATAATAGTGTATCTCACTGATGCGGTAAAAATATGAAAATATATTGATATACTAAAACACATGTTTAAGAACACGTATTATCATTCTGCACTTGTTTATCCTTTTCTGAGTTTATTTTTTTTTTAATTTTTATTTCTGCATTTTTTCCATATGAAATATAACTGAATAACAAAGAACATATAAATGTAAGGTATAATACAACATAAATAAACAATAATTTCTTCATGTCAAAATTTTTTTTTTACATAATATATGTACATATAATAACGAAACTTAATATGTCCATAACATATAATCATAAATTTGAAGTATTAACTATTCTGTTGGAAAAGTGCAGGAGACCGCAATCATAAGCATAGCTTGACAAGTATGGCGGCCTCAAAATGAAAGAGACTTACCGTTACCAAAAACTTCTCTGTGATGATGAATTGTGATTTGGCCATCTTTATGCTTTGAAATGCACTTGAAAGCTTTACATGCATCATGGCATGCATTCAAATTGCAAACTGATAATGTTGTGTTTCCAGCAGAAGGCTGTTAGCAGGGGCATACTGAATAGTTTAATGTATTAGGAATTCCTCTGCTTACACCCTTCTGTCAGGGCACACAATAAGAAACATGAAACTGAAGGAAAAAAAATGAGACACTGAAAGAGAGAAACTGCCACTCATGAGAGAGAGAAAGAGAGAGAGGGGGAGAGACAGAGAGAATGAATAATAGAGAGATGACAAGACAGAGTGAAGAGAGTGAGAGAGAGAGAGAAAGAGAGACAGACTGAAGAGAGTGAGAGTGAAAGAGAAAGAAAGGAGAAATTTATTACTAAGTTTCTTCATGTTTTTATTTCCGGGTATAATATGTATCTTTTCACATTATTATGTTACCTACAAGTACAGGAACAACTACTGAAAAATGTATTTTCTTAATAGAATATAAATAAATGGCAAAACAAAATCCCATGTCAAAGGCACTGACAGTGGATAGGACAGCACAATCATGGAATTTCGCCAAATATACTATTCCTTGCCGCCAATCACCAATTACAAATGCACAATGCATCAAGTGCAACGGGTGGGACTACTGCAATCAATCAAACCTTGGACGAACCAATGGTCTGTACAATTCTTGCTCTGATTCCCTACTGGAATCAGCTCCAAGACAGGTGCTCCATTTATAAAAAACACTTCACCAATGAGAGGTAATTGTTGATATAATGCATGTATGTACTATACCGAAGCATCTTAATCATACCAAGGGGTGCTGAGAGCCACTGTAACAACGTAGAAGCAAAAAAGGTCACCATCAAGAGTATGGTAACATCATCTTGTAACAACATCAATAGGATAGCAAACCCAACAGTAAGTTTACGCATATGTATACAGGACATCAAAGAAGAAACAAAAAAAGATTAAGAACCCCCCCCCCCCCCCCCCCCAATCTCTGGAAAGAAGGTATGAAACGGGTATATGTATGGTCATTTTCAAATATTGTTGTACCTCCTTCTGCATTAAAATACAGAACAGAGGGAAGAAAATTTTCAAACAAATACATGTACCTGTAGCCTGGCTGTATTACAATTGTGTAATAGTCAAAAGATATCGACTTCAGAGGGCAAAAAGTGCATCTTCTTCACTTTTTTTTATCATCAAAATGGCTCTCAAAAGTGACACACAGCCACACTTCCTGTGTGACAGTTTAACCGCAAGATATTCTATTTCCCCCCTGCCTTCTCCCATTCATCAAATTTGAATTTAAAAAATATGTTAAACAGGTGGCAACAATCTAGCTCCTAACGTACCACTCATATCAAGTCTAGAAGCAGCATTCTAGGAGATAAGTATTCTTCAGAGCTTCTTCATACACATACTGTGTTATCTTCTTCTTGTATATAATGGTGCCATATTCCGCAATAGCTATAACCAAACCAAACTTGAACATGACATACAATTATCTGGACCTACTATATCTTCTTCTTATAATATGGTGCCATATTTATCTATAGCCAGTCCTAACTTGAACATGACGTACATCTTCATTATCTGGACCTACTTATCTTCTTCTTCTTATAATATGGTGCCATATTTATCTATAGCCAGTCTTAACTTGAACATGACATACTTCTTCATTATCTGGACCTACTACATTGGTTATAATAGCAGACTGACAAAAATATGATGCACAAATATACACATCTGTCCATTTTTGTTCAATTTTCCTCCTAAAACCTCCTCACATAAAAAGTAAAGTAGCCACGTCAATTAGGGCCTCAATGAATCTTTCATTCCTATCAGGAATGATCATATTTAACAGTCAACGACAGAGAATGTGACATCCCAGAGTTCAAGAAAGATAATATCCTTAGAAACATATTTGCCTCGCCTACTTCCACCAACTGACGTTAAAAACAATTACTCCACTTCCTACTCCGGCCCAGAAGGCTGCCAGCAAGGGGCTTCACCAACCCAGAAATGTATGACTAAGTCGAGGAAGAGAAGGAATTGCCACGGCTAGATTCAAAGGTAATGAATAAGAAGACATCGGATTTTCAGTAACACCGTGTATGCTTTATATGCAATGTTGTTGTACTGGAGAATGGTGTGATTCAGTGTTGTAACCAAGACCAAAGGTCCCCATAATGGGACAAGGTGGAAAACACTGACTTCATTCAATAAGGGCTAGATCTCACGGTCAAGACGAAGACCAAGACATTAAAAACCAAGAGACTGTGACTAGACTCACTCCACAAGACTTTAGATACATATCACTTTTTAGTCAACCTCTTTTGAGATGGTTTAATTTCTTCTATCATGCATTTGCAAACTTAGAGTTCGATCTCAAGTTTCATAATATAGTATTCCAAGCTACATGGACTATGAAAACAGTCAATCTTTATGTATTTCTCACATTTTTACCTTTAAGTAATATTGTACCTGCGCACTACACCATCATGTTATAATTCTTTTTGGACATGACGAACAGTGACATGCCGCAACATCAACAGACCTCTAGATAGAACTAAAGATGATTCACGATACCACCAGGGACCGAATGTGGCTGGATGGAACCATTTCTCATCGTCTTGAATGATTGGAACACGGCGTCTTGACATTAACAGACCAAGCAAGACGTCGGAGACCAGATTGGGAGAACTTAGACAGACACTAGCAAAGGTGACTAAGAGCTCCAGGAATAACAGGAAGCAAAGGAAGACAGAGTAGATGAAGAAAAAAAATGTAAAGGAATAAAAAGAAAATTCCTATAATACCATTATAAGAAGAAAAAAAAACTTGCAGAAGAAATGAATGAAAGGGAGAAAAATAAAAAAAATTGAGATTAACAAAAAGAAAGAGAATATAATGAAAAGTAAAAAGCAAGATTTCAACACTTTCAAAACATCTGCAGATGTCTTTCCAATAGGAACTTCAAAAACATTAACAAATAGACAGACAGTGCAAAAAATATTACACTTGTCATCAACAAAGTTGGAACCCCAACATAATCTAATTGAAAAAGATATCAAAACAACTGCCTCATAAGATTTCCTACATCTCCACAGACTCTGATGGAGTTGTCCAGACACCATTTCCGGCCTACTCATACTCAACCTCGTATGTTACACCACATAAAAATGCTCCTCCTACGGTACCCCCCGATTCAAAGCCCTTCCCTCTTCCCAATGTCTAATCCAATTTCACGTCTCTGCCTCCAATATCCCGCGAGAGGTCCTTAAAATAACCTTAGGACTCCCCTTACCTCAATCTCGTAGCAGAAGTAGCTTGGTTTACCAATATCAAAATTGGCCAGAATGTCTTCAAAATGAAAAGGCTCGTACAGGAAAAAAGGCATTTCCTTTTCGTCGTACCACATCTTAAGCACAATTAAAATAATCAAGTTATCTCCACAAATTAAAACACACTGCCAGTGGAAGGAAAAGTTTCACAAATTTTGGGGAAAATATGTATAAATTGAGTTTGTGAAAGTTGCCTGTCAAATCTACTGTCAAAACACAATCTATGTTACAATCAAACCTGAATTAGAATTCTGCGATGTTAGGCAGGAAAAGGGATTAATAGACGAACAAAAAAGAGAGAAACTTGGGCCAAATTCAAATGTACTTCTAGCCACAAATGAATGAATGAATGTCAGTCACATGTTTAAGCGTGGAGTTTGTGTATTTGCATATAATCCACTATCTGTATGCCAATATTTTTACAACCAGATGAATGTTTAGATTGGTTTAGACAGTCGGTGGCTATAGAAAAAAAGATAGTTTAATGAATGGGGAATTATCGACCTGTCATTAATAATTACATTTTCATTTTATGAAAAATGGATCACTTTAAGTACATTTCTGTTCTACTCTCTCTTATTTCAAGTTAATTAAGGATAATCTAATTTCAATGCTTGCCCTAATGTCATTTTCATTTACACTGACAGGTGTTATGATCGAATTCCGATCTTTCTTCAGACTTTGATATTTGACCTTTGACCTGATATATTAACACAAGTCATAACAAACAGTCATTGAGAGACTGTTTTGATTGACAATGCTTGGCAAGGCATTGATGGTGAATCCAATGCCAAAGTGTGGTGTCCATGGCTTAATTACCGGAATGCAACAACTGATTAAACTCACTTAATTTGCTAATGAGTAGTGTGGTTTGTGCAGTCGGAGTTTTTACATGCCAAGAACTTTGAAAAGGGTACGGTATGCCAACTATGCTATGGGACTAATTACATCAATAACAGCAACTCTGACAGATGATAATTACTGGCAACTGTCAGAATATATAAAACAAATAATTTGTGGTGTACAAGCAGATTGATTATCTGGCCCTACAGTGGCGAAGTTATTGCAAATTATACACCATAAAGAATTCTGAAGACTTGCCAAATAACAGAGTTGTGATCAATTTCATCAATGAATTCTGTACACTTTATCTAACGTACAAAGTCGTGATCAATTTCAATATGTCTATAAACTGTAAGTTCCAATCAATAAGACTTGAATTGCAACTTTATCTTGTTCACAAGAATAAAATCATTAAGGGTATTTGCCCCGAGTGCTTTCTTCATAAAATGGCGAGTATCACGACAGCCTTTTAAGGCCATTTTTGTCCACCATTAGAGACTAAGATAAATACATGCATAATAAATGCAGCATGCTTCATGCATTTTTCACTAATATCGAATGATATCTAATATTGAATGCTGTGTTTTTTCTGGAGATTTAATCAAGTTCCTACGACAGGAGTGCCCTAGTGTTTTAAATGTAATTGATCTCATTAAAAACTGTTAGATAACTTTAATAGAATGGAGAGACTTGGGATATTCGATTTGTTTTGATAAACAGAAATATAACGGATGCAAGCAAGATGCACAGTCATTATTAAAGGATGCACTGTGAAAAGAATATAACTTTTTTTTTAAAGTATAATCAAAACGAAGAAACTTTTGTCAACTGACTTTGGGTCATTGTTATCAGTTGTAGGAAGAAAATTAAAGAAGGTTATATTCCTGATTTTTTTTTTTAATCTCAAAATGTTATCATGCATGTGTACCTGTTTCTCATTGTATTGTCAAAATAAAAAATGTCCTTGTGTATAGAATAAATATCTTTAATATTCTAAACATATTGAAACTTGTCCCGTGATTCTGGAGAAAGATAAAGGAAAGGAGTAGCAATTTTCTAATACTAAAATCACACCCCCGGAAAAACCGATCCGAATTAATTTCAGCTTATCAATTATGATGGACATGTTTGTCCCCGGATCCAAGCTGATTCTCTGTAACTTATATCAAAATCATAGGGTTACGCATGCACGCATACCATCCTTGTTCCTACATAATGCTTAGTTCTATGCATTCATCCTCCATCCAGCGCTTGCACACGTTCCTAGCGTGCACTTCTTCATCAAGGCACCGTGCAAACGCACCTGGTCCTCTACGGTAGATGTACGACTGACGGTTATATCCGAGCGCCGACTGTGGCGCCGGTGGTACCGCTTCTTTCTTGGTGCAGGCACGGGTGACTGGTCATCATCATCACTCAATGCTGCACTCCTCCTCGATATCGGTCTCATTTTCAGCTCGGTAACCACATCGTCCTCCTTCTCAACCTCCTCCCCATCAGAGAGAAGAGGTTTTGATTCCTTGCTCCGACTCAACGACCCCGTCTTCTCTTTCTTCAGTTCCATCTTCCCGGTGGCCTGCGCCAGTTTCATCTTGTCTTCCAATTCTTTCATCTTCATATCGTCCACCGCTTGTTTCTCAGACTCAAAGTCAAGATTTAAGAATTCCATTACATTCTTCATGATGTCTTCAAGGTCATCTGTCTCTGCGCTAGACTGGACTATAGAGCCTATCTTTGGCCCTGAAGACATCTTACTCTCCGTCAAATCATTACCCACTACACCCTTTTGCTTAGGCTTCAAAGGCAGTATATTCAGAGAGAGGTCTTTAGGTTTTACCTCGTCTTTTTCTTCCCCATCTCCCACACTTGAACTTACCACGTCCTCTCTTTCATTTTTGAGCGAAAGTTCCTGCACCTCATCCCTTCGTTCATCTCTTTTCGCATATCTTCTTACTTTTGGCTTATTCTCTTTCTCTTCTAAAACATTAAGTGAGACGCTCTCTGTATTGTCCTTAATTTCCACATTCTTTAAAAGTTCCTCCGACACCCCCTCTACTTTAACAACATTAACACTAGCCTTTCCATCCCTTAGTTCCTTACCCTCACGTGACACTTTAGAGTATATATCCCGAGATTCTTCCTTGTTAGCAACCCCTGTACCTAACACAACCTTGCTTTCTTTTCCATATTTCTGTACTCGTTGTGCTTCTTCTTTTTTCTCTCTCAAGAAATCAAAATCTTTCTTGATCTTAACCCATACAGGCTCATCCTCCATTTCATCATCCCCATCCCTATCCCTGTCATCGACCTCCTCTGGTTTCTTAACCTTTCTCAGCTCTACTTTTCTAAAATCAGCTGGTGGTTTCTTAACCTTTTTAAGTTCTATGTTCTTAAGATCAACCTGTTTCAAAGGCATACCCGCGAATGGCAACCTTTGACCAAATTTCTCTACCTTTTTCACCCTTGGTGACGGCACTGGCTCGATCTTTGTGCCGTTTGCTGTTGGTCCAGTCCTGGGTTGGGGTACCGGTGTTGGCGTCGACTCTCCATCCTTGGTCTTTGCAGGTCGATTAGGGAGCTCTCCATCGGAGGCTGCTCTTGGAGGAACAACCTGGGGAGGCAGCGGTGCTTTGTAGCTCTTGCGTGATCTGGGTGGAGCCGTTACGCCTCCTGGACTACCACCAGGGGGTCGTGGAGGTGCAGACCTTTTCTTCTTCAGTGTTTCCCTGTCCCTCTTCAGCTCATCAAGGATCTGCGATCTAGTCTTGACAGAGTAGGAACCAGAGCTCAGGATCGTCGGTGGGGGTGGTCTCTCTGGCCTCTTTGAATGTGAGAAGGATGCGGCCCTTATATTATCACTTTTGAGTCTCAAACTGAAGGGAGTTTCTCGAGTAGGCGACCCAGTAAAAGGATTGACACTCTCATCGCTAATGTGACTTTCATTTCCTTCATCCTCATCCTCACCGAATGGATTCAAGTTGTTGTCATAACCATCATCATCCTCATCACTCCCAAATGGATTTGTTGACTGTCTCTTGCCAGTTTCCTCCGTCTCTTCTTCATCCTCATCTCCAAATGGGTTCAAGGAATCATCATAATTATCATCTGTAGTTTTCTTTCCTGATGGGCCTTCCACTTGACTCACATTTTCTTTCAACTTATTTTCTGAGTCTTTATCTCTTTCTGTTCTCTCATCTATCTCAAGTGTGGCGGGCTGAGTTGGTACCTTACTTTCCTTTTCAACGGTCTTATCATTTGTTTCAACACTAACATCTTCTGTCTTTTTTGCTTCACTGTTCTCATCTTGAAATGAGTCAGATAACTCTGCCTTGGTATCCCACAATGCACTATCACCAGTACTTCCTTCCTCCACCGATTTGTTTGTTACATCATTGGTGCCAATCTCTAAATCAGTTTTCTCTTGGTCTTTGGTGATAGTCTGATTGACGGTGTTCAATGTTTCTTCCTCCTTGTCTTTTTCCTTGTTAGCTACACTTATATCCTCATTCTGATCAACACCGACTTCCACAGGTTCTTCTGATGTTGGTGATTTCTCTATACCAGCATCTCCACCCACCTCTTTGATTTCTTCAGCAGTTGAAACGTCGACCTTAGCCGTTGTCTCCTCTGCTGATGTTGTATCATCTGTATCCCTAAAAGTCTTGTTAAAAGTGCCACTAATATTGTCTAGATCACTACTCTCGAATCCCAAGGAATCGCCCTCCTTGAGACTCCTGACATCGGAAGACGACTTGGATTCATCATCCGTTGAGAACAAGCTTGATTCTCTATTCTCTCTTGCCTTGGAGTCCTCACTACTGCTCTCTGTTGTTGATAACCCTGTGGAACTTTCTTGGGTTCCTTTTCCAGTGGGTACCTGACCGTTCTCTTTTGGTTTTGTTATAACCCTAGGAAGAGGTACAGGTCTGGCAGGTGATTCTGCAGGACTCTTGTTGAGGGCCTCCTGTGACGCTGCCATGTCTGCATCTTTCTGGGTGGCCAGGGAGGTGACAGACCCGTTGAAGGGGTGTCGTTCAAGCTGTGGACTACCAACTGGACTACCCGATGCATTAAACCTTGCCCTGGCTGCGGACTTCATCAAGTGGGGATGCATTGAAACAGCACCAGGAAACGGTGGCTTGGTTCTTTCTGGTGCTTGCGGCATACTAGGCTTTGAATTCCCCATGACGGGTTCTGCAGGAGTGGTCGACTTGGGGGGTAGCTGTGGAGGTGGCTGATTCGGCCTCTTTGGAGAAGCCTTGGCTGTCCGGTTCTGCCATATCGTTCCTCCTTCCTCATCCACTCCGGCCAGTCTGGCACCAGCCCGACTGGTCGGGTTCATGCGTAAGTTCCATATATCTCCATTATCACTGTGGCACATACATTCAAACTTCTTGGGATCCTTGGTGAGCTTATAGGAGTCCGGGCGCAACGTACTCCTGCACTTGGTACACCTGAAGCAGTTGCGGTGGAAGAGTCGACCATCCACCACCTGTCTCTCCACCAGGTAGACTCTCTTGCTACAGATCTCACACTTGTCGCTCTTCAGGGAGATCTTGGCCGGAAGGGGTCCACTTTGGGCCTGCAATCAAAGAAAATAGGGGGAAGAAATTGTTAGGCAACTGTAAGAAGAAAAATCAATCCATAATCATTCAGAAAAGTAGGTGAGTGCTGCCACTGAGATGAACAATTAATTCATAGCATTACAGAAACAGCACCGATTACACACTGTGACTATTGTGCTTAAAATTAAAAATTTTCATGGACATTATTCATAAATCTTTTTTATGCTTATTTAAAGGTATTCTTTTCAGTGAATATTCTAATTTTTTAAAGCATTAATTGTATAATTGTACTGAAATTAACATTATTTTCTACATATTAATTGTTTAATTCTATATATTAATTGCTTACAGGTGTGTAAAAAAAAAAAAAAGGCAAGAAAATGAATACAATTAAATATATGAAGGAGCTTAATACTCTATGAATGATTTTGAAAGGTTATATGTTTTAGGAATCTCTCTGCCGAGAATGAAAAGATACAAAACTAAAGAACTTTCTATAACTCCTCAAATCAGCAGTTCTTGGAAAAACAATCTAAAAATATTTTCAATGGTCCTAAAATTATAAAGTGATGTTAATCTACCTTTTTTCTTCAATATATGTAACGTTTATGACTGATTTGGAAAGAAGGTAGATACACTGCTCTGATGTATTGGCCTAATGTTTATTAAATACTAGAGCCTTCAGAAAGTCGATATGTTAGTAGTTTTCTCATAGAAATACATAGAATATCACCAGAAGTTAGAAACTTGTTTGAAAAAAAAAAGATATCATATCTCATGAGTTAGACTAAACATAAAAATAAGCAATTAATTGTAATATTAGTTTGGAAGGAAAGAAAAAGATCATCATAATGGTCCAAAATATTTATTTTAAAAAAGGTGGATAACTGAATACCAAAGTAATGATATGAGTATTCTGATTCAACCAGTAAAACTCAAATTTTATGAATGGCATGCCCAAAAGAATTACAAATTAGGAAATTTAAAACAATAAACATGTATGTCACCCGAATGTAAACCAAACTTCTGGTGTGATACAAAGAAGTTGAAGGAAAAATGGCCAAGTCTCAATAAGGAATGTTTACAAAATTTAATGGATTCTAAAAACAATTATATTTTATTTGGTGTTACTCTACTGTTACTTCAAATTTAGTATATACCGGTAGACAGAAAAAAAACATCATATTTTGTAACATTTTTTTTCAAAATTCTCAAAGAAAATATAGAATTGCATAGTGTGTGAAACATTTGCGAAGTCAATTTATATCACTAGCACAGAATAATAATTTGCAATAGTTCAGAATATGCTTGATGATACTGAATTAGAATTGACACTCTATGAGAAGTTGGCCTGAGGAGGAGCAGAAAAATCAAAGAAAGAACTTATGAACTGTATGATTAAAAGCTGCAATTATCACTAAAATATGGTCATGATGTGTGCTATAGAACATGAAGAAAACTCACATTTGTTTTGGTTTTTTCTGAACATAATTTTTCCACTTTAGTGATACAACAGAATTGTCCCGATGATCTACTTGTGCAGAGCTGCCTCCCACAACTGAACAAAAATCCTATTCTTTTCCCAAAAAAATCCTATGTTTGATCGATAAGTACTTTCTTTTTGTTGGACTGTGTTCGTCAACATTTTGAAGAATTATGCATGAGTACATTTTACAAAGATTTTGTTGAATATGCAATAGTTTGTCATGAATGGTCATTCAATAAACTAATGAGCGGCATGTAAATAGATTTTTATGGACCATTGGTTGAATATGTATGATTTTGTCATGACTGGTGTGTTCGATGAACCAATGAACATTCCTAAATTGCCGATGTGAGATGCTTGTAGGATACTTTACAGAAGAGAATGGGCAATTTGCTATTGAAAATGGCACAAACACACAAAATACACAAGAATGTTCAAATTTTGGATTATTAATATTTTTAAAAATCTTTTAAATGATATTTATTATTTACTTCTAAAAAATTGTACGTAATACGATTAAATCGTACTAGTTGGCAGCTCTGCTTGTGGTACTATACTTTTACATATCCTCCCACAAAAGAAATTTTCTTCCATCATGAGAATTTAGAAGTACCTACATTATCAATTAAAAAAGAAAAAAAGAATAAAGAGAAGAGTAACCCATCTATAACATTACACATCATGAGACCAATCCCCATTTCATTAGTGAAATTTTAACATGGTGTACTCAATAAAAAAAACTTTAGAAGAAAAACTTGAGAAATAGGCCCACAAGATATGATAAAGGAAGAGGATACAAAAACAATCAGATTCTATGATGCTGCTTGCAAGCACTGTTCTTTTTGAATTTTTTTCTTCAAAATCTCACCTCATCTTGTTTAGGTAGATGCGACACAAAGTTAGGTTGGAACTGACGGAGAGAAAATCGTTTAAGGCAAATTCTAGTACTCAAAACTGTTGTTACAATGTAAAAAATCACTGTAACACCTCATTAAAATGGTCTACAATAGTGAAGAGATTTCTTTTTGTTTTGCCTAAGGAAGATAATTTTAAAAGTTCATGTCATTTCATATTTTTTTCCTTTGTACATGTAGAGTAACTTCATACAAAGACATTTAAAAAAACATAGTGAAAAGCCTTATCCAAGGGCAGATTAATAAGGCTTTGTTCGCAATTAAAAACATCTAAATGAATATAAGAATCTGTCTGTGTATACCTGTTGGAGGAGAAATATTTATCGAACTTTAGAAGTATAAAACGTCAACCTAGATTTCATAATTCTTCATAAATAACAACGTCTGCTAAGAGCCATAACATTAATATCTATCTGTCTCTCTGCAGATGACACACTTTTTAGCCCATCAGAGCCAAATTGTAATCCAAACATATGTTAACCCCTCTCCTGCAGAAACGATGTGGCTCCTGCACTTATTTCATAGGAAAATGAGATAATGGTATTCAAGGGGTTAACCTTAAAAAAGATGAAGGCTTAGATTACGTGTGGTACAAGGGTGTTACAGGTCATCCTCATCGGAACAGACTGGTTTACTAACATATTCAAATTTATGGATATTTCTTTCCTGGGGACCTCAGTGACAAGGTATTCAATTAAAATTTTATGCGCACTTTTAAAACCAAAGGCTGTTCCAGAAAACCAAAGCTTATTCTTGACAACCTGAAGGTTCGCCCGGCATTGCAACAAATTATGTTCGCAGACTGGATTCAAAGTATTGTAGTACATTCATTAATAACAACAACAAAAATATTTAAAAACCTGTTATTAATGAATGAACTACAGTGTACATTATTTGTTGCTATGTCAGGCAAGCCCTTAAGCTGTCAAAAACAACCTTTGATTAAAAAGTAGGCATAAAATAATAAACCCGTCTGTATTGCTAGCTTGAAAAATGGTGAAGTACTTACGGCTTTGTTCTCCTTATCTTTAGCCTTCTTGAAGCTCCTCCTGCGGATCTCCTTGCCCTTGTCAGAGACCTCAACATCTTTACCTGAAGCTATGTAGATAAAAGACAGGAGTGAAGAGAGAAGAATAGAAAGAAAGAAACAAACAAACAAAGAAGGGAGGAGGGAAGGAAAGAAGGAAAGAAAGTAAGGGGAAAGTGAAAAGAAAGAAGGAAGATTGGATAGTATGGAAGATGGATATAACAAAGTGATGGCAGAGATGAAAGCAAGAGAGAGGCAAAGATATTAGTAAGATATTGGTAGATTGAGAGAGACAGAGAGAGAGACAGAGACAGAGACAGAGAGACAGAGACAGAAAGAGGGAGGAAGAGAGCATGGGAGGGGTACACAAGGAACAGAAAATAAGATGTAACATAGATGTTAAGGAAAGAGAATGAAAAAAAGGAATAGAATTGAAGGATGGAATACCAGAACAAGGGAAGAAATTCAAATGGAAGAAGGGATAAAAAGAAAAAGGTGAAAATGATTAATTGATTTTATCACAAATATATTGTAGTATAAGAATTAGCTAAATATCCAGAGATGACGTCTGTAAAATGTCCATAACCTTTTCCTTTCTCAGTTAATCAGAAGCAGAAGCCTCTTAATCTCATTGATTGGCATAAGAAATGTTGCAATCTTTATTTTAAAACAACTCAAGTTTCTTGAACTTCTGTGGAAGGTAAAAATTAATCTGTAGGCTTGAGCTCTAGGGCACTCGATGATCTTACACGTACTAGGTTATTAAATATTTTGATCCCTTTCAAGTCTTTCAAGGTGTTATGGATTACAATGTTTGTACTAAAGCTTGTAAATCAAGCTGACTTTTCTTTAACCCTTTATATTCCAATTGCAAAACATTTGACAGTGTCTACCTGTATTGTAAGCAAAAAAAATTACAATTTCCAATATGGGTACTCATACTAATATTTTAAAAAAAGAAGACATATACATATATAATTCAAAGTGAATTATGGAATGATGTTCATAATCTACAACCATATACATCTACAAACTATGTAAATGTTGGCTTGAATGTCTCTGAAAATTGAACCTATCTAATATGAATGGGTGATGTGGTGTTTTCAAACACAATACAACACGATCTACATCACTAGACATGTTATATACAAGTGAACACACAAGAGTTTCAAGATGTGCAGTACCTGACAATTGTGAAACAGTGAAAAGAATAGGTTAGCATTCTTAGCAACTTGGCATGTTAGGTTTAAGAAGGTTAAAAATGTTATTTTTTCAATTTACTACATCTTTTCACTCTATAATTCAGTTGCAAACTAAGTTAAATTTAAACAATCTCTAACCTGTTAATGCAATATCCATACACTGTACTTCACCCCATTGCCCTATTGCAGCATAAGAAAATATCAATAATTTGTGCGTGTTCAGTTATACCGGGTATCATTGCAATCATCTAGGAATTCTACGACATTTTTCTTGTTATTCAAGTAAACATCTGACTAAAAGTAACTAGAATGGCCACTAAACTTCACCTACTAAATCCACATTACTAAATGACAAGAAAAAACTGCATTAAAAGGAGCAAAATCAAAGGAGATAAGAACAGTGCACTCCTCATTTTGTTAACTTATAAAACATAAATCTACCAGTAAGGAAACCTATTGTTCAGCACAACTCTGTCCTCCCCCCCCCCCCCCATCTCAATATTGCCTATTTTAATTGCCAATCATTTACCCCCAAAAATGTTTGTGCCACAACCTACAACAGTTTTTTTTAAGGAGATTTATCGTATCAGGTGTGAATGGGGTACAGCCTCATTATTTTGTTTTGGTAATCATTCACATCATCATTTACAATAGGGTAATTAATGCACAGCAGGGATGAATCAGTGTACTAGATGATGTGCAACTGTCTATACTAATTACACTGAAGGTCCTAACGAGCAATCATCACCATAACAAAAGGTAGAGCTCATCTAGAACATAGCCATGCTCCGAAACAGATTAATAGATGGAAAAGCACAAACAGATGTGAGATATCATGAAAATGAAATGCTTTAATCTTAGGGAAATTCAAAGGTTTGCTATTGATCAGGCCACCAATCAAGGGTTCTACACATAGCTAAATATTTTCGCCATACGGTAAAATTGTATTATTTCGTTAGGATCCTAGATTGAGATTTAGATAGCAAGATAGCGATTAGTTTCTGAGCCTCAATGCATTAACTAGCTGCCTCTGGTTCTTAGTTTCTCACATAGTCACTGAGCTTTATTCTTTCAATCCAAGCTGTCAAAACTTCTTTTTCATTTTCTTGGCGGTAGAGGTAATAATCACGCTAAATCTTCAGGATGCTCTCAATTTGTTCAGATCTTTAGTTTTGGTTTAACGCTTCAAGGTGAGTTTAGACTGTTCAGTGATTGTAATCAATACCTTCACGATTACTTGTTGATTGAGTGAGTGAGCTAGGAGAGCTTCATGCAGGATTATGAAGGATATAGTTCAGAGGTAGTCATGAATGTTTCATTTCCTTTGTGCTGTGCACATGAATCTAACTCTCAGGAAGAGAAACATGGATAAAGTTGTGGATCTATTTCTTTTCAAACAACATTCAGCCGAACTATCACTCTAGGATGTTACAATACATGTATACAGTCTTGAAATTGAAAGCCAGAAGGGCATGATCTCTATGTACTACAGTGAAACCTGCTCTAGTGACCACCTGTATAGAAAACCACCTGTCTACAAAGACCACATTTTTTTAATTTCCCTTGAAAATGGTTTCTCAACATTTACTGAAGGAACCTGTACATAAAGACCAACTGCCTATAAAGACCACTTTTCTTGACTCCCTTAGGTAGTCTTTATAGACAGGTTTCAATGTACCCTTTTGGCTCTCAGCAGCAATTTCATATTTCAAATAATCTTCTAAGTAATATCTAAAAAATTATATGATGGGAATTGATGAAAATACATGAAAAATCAGTTGATTCCCAATGAAATGTGCTATAAAATTGTATTGATGGATGAAATGAATAAATAAAGGAACACTTACACTGAGTTTCAAATGAGAATTATAATGTGCTTACATAATGTTTTGTTATTCAACTGTCAGCTATGAAGTTGAAAAAATAAATAAATGAGTGAATAGGTGAAGCAGTTAGTAAATATGGAAAAGTGGTGCATGTTATCATAAAGAACAAATAAGAATAAAAAGAAACATAACATGTAAATCAAAGGAAAGAATTGAAAAAAGAATGTCTACTTATTTATTTCAATATTTTACATTTCAAGTGTTCTCCTATACAGTGTTCCAACGATATCCTCTATGCCAGAAAAATTCTTAACCTCAACTTTGGCCAAATCGGTACAATCAAACATCCAAACATATCAAACACACAGACACATCTACCTCCTAATAATATCTGACCTATTAACTTATAAATAACTGTATTAAAAACAGAAATAAATACAGAGCAACCTACCGCCAGTAAGAGAGACACTTATCTACTAGATGCAGTCATACATGCTCGGCAGTACTCAGTATATGAATGCTAAGCCGACGACAACAGAGCTCTGTTGCTTGGTTTAGAAGATATCATTAGGCCTGTTTTCATCAGCTCGAGATTACCAAATATCCCGCTATTTAAATTATCCCGATCGCATATTATCCAGTTAATTTGCATCTTCATCAGACCGAAGTTGCAATTAGCAGGATATTTGGTCGAGATAATCATCCCAGATATCTTGGGCTAGTTCGCAAATATCCCGCTATATGTCCGGTGCGTCTTCACCGGCCTGAAGACTCGTGCTATGCGCGAACGATAAGCAAAATAACTCGAGCTAATTTCTCAAGCTTGAGTTTCAAGTTTCGAGGTCAAGTCTCAAGCTGATGAATTCTCGATTTGAAACTTCAGGATTGTTTCCCAAATCAGAATTAGCAGGCTATTTGGCAATCTCGAGCTGATGAAAACAGGCCTATTGTACCGATTACGTTCATTGATGTCTCCTTGACCATGGGACATACCAGAGATTGCTTGGAGGTCACCTGAACATAACGGACACCTTACAGATGGATGAACTTGACATCTGAGAGGTCATATCAAATGTACTGGAATAGAGTGCCCCACCCTCTACAATCACATACACAACAAACCAACAACAATGAAGAAATGTTTGATAATGACTAATTGGCTGGGATATGGAAATCATTAAGTATAAGTGGGATATGTTCAAATTGACTGCTAAATTCCTTGTGAAACTGGTTGATAGATATATATTACAACATACAACCCACTAAAATCATTGATTTTGAGTATCTATCTACATGTGTACTATTAAACATAACATATTTGGTGATTTACGGGTAAATGATTTCTTCACTAAATAAAAAGATATCATTCTGAGGCAATCTCCAAGCTGTAAAGTTGAAAAGGAGAGTAGAATAAACTTGAAATATCTTTCCCCTCATGATGCAATGATGACTAACTATCAGTACAAATTTCCCCCGACACATTCGGCGATGAAAATTGAAACACCTCTCAAAAACACTTGTCTGCCTCTTATTGAGTAGGATTATAGCAGCTGCCTGTTAAGAATTCATCTCTTTTATGATTTTATCAAAGTTTGCGTGTGAAATTTCTGTCTTTAGCAATAGTCACACACACCTTGTTGACATTTTGCCAAAGACCAAGTCACTCTTTCACTGGCATGGTCATTGTTAAAGAAAGAGGAGGGGTAGGAATGGGATTTATCAGACAGCAGAGGGCAAGGGGAAGAGGAGGGGGCAGATTCTAATATCATGTGTTAAACCCCAAAGGGGCATAACATGATGATTGATGTTGATGTTTGATGATTGTTTTACACGACTGCTACGGAAGCATGTATATGCTGGTAAGTAAGCAACCAGGGGACCGAAGGCTTTAGGTCCTCTCCAATAAACTTGGTAATGAGGATTAATGCCTTACCAAAGCCAAAGAGCATGAACTTATTGACTTGGTTTTAAATTGAGATCTCTCAGTTACGAGACCACTGCTCTACCACCGGGCCATCACGCCTCGTCCTCTGTTATAAGATA